TCTATAATCTTCCAAAAATCGCTGGAAGCTGGCAAACTACCTGACACATGGAAGTTGGCAAACGTCGTACCTATCCACAAGGGAGGATCACGGCTATGTCCCACCAACTACCGGCCGGTTAGTTTGACATGCATTTGCTGCAAAAATCACTCGATACTTTCCGCTGTCACATCGCCTCAGTTCAACATGGCTTCTGCGAAAAGAGGTCCTGCCTCACAAATCTGCTTTCGTCACTCGAACATTGGTCAAAGGCCATGGATAAAGGATATCTAGTTGATGTCATTTACTTTGACTTCAGCAAGGCGTTCAATTGCGTCCCACATAAGCGCCTCATTCAAAAGTTATCAGAAGTAGGGATAAGAGGAAATCTTCTGAACTGTATTCAAGATTTCCTAAACGGACGGCAACAAAAAGTCACTGCGGGCGGCTACTACTCAGAATGGGCACCTGTTACGAGTGGAGTCCCACAGGGGTCAGTTCTTGGGCCGCTCCTATTCATTATCTATGTAAATGACCTGGTACGGGAAGTGAAATCAGACATAGCGCTCTTTGCAGACGACCTTAAACTTTGGAGAGCGATAAAAGATGAAGATGACGTCAGGATGCTACAAGAGGACTTAACGAATTTGCACGCATGGAGCGAGAAATGGTGCATGAAATTCAACGTCAAAAAATGTGCAATAATGCACGTAGTACCAGCGAGGCGAAGAACAAATGCACCCCCACGACAGTATCTCCTGGACAATCAACCACTTAAAACCGTAGATGTGCAAAAAGATCTCGGTGTATTCATTAAAGACGATCTAAACGTCACCACGCAGTGTTCTAAAGTCGCTGCGCGGGCAATGTCCGTTATGAGCGCGATACGCAGAACGTTTATTCACTTGAATAAAGATGTCTTTGGCAAAGTATACGGGACATTTGTGCGGCCGCACCTGGAATATGCGGTACAGGCTTGGCGGCCGTGGCTTCGGAAGGATATAGATATCCTTGAAGGTGTACAACGGCGTGCTACAAAGGCTGTTCATGGCCTCAAAAACTTCACGTACGAGCAGCGCCTAACGGCCTTGAACCTCTATCCCCTCCACTACAGGCAGGACAGGGGTGACCTCATAGCAACGTTCCAGTTGATAAAAGGACTTAATCTGGATGTCGACTGGGAAACGTTTTTTGAAATGGCACCCAAATCCAATCTCAGACGACATGATTACCAGCTTAAAAAGGAACTGTGCCACACAAATCAACGTTCCTCCTTTTTCTCACAGAGGGTCATTCGCCAATGAAACTCTTTGCCGGAGTTTGTTGTTAATTCCCCTACCGTGAACGTGTTCAAGAGACAACTGGATACTCACCTGCTGAAAGGCAACCCAAACTGCCGAAGCCTGATCTGACGGATTATTGAAATGACTATAAATATACTACTAACATGATTTCAACAGATCCTATTTTTTGCGTCAAACTTGGCCCATATTGAAATTTTCACAGTCCGAATGTGGTGAAAGTTCTTCGTAATTATTTTGCGAATATAATACCCCTTTCACCTTTATGTTACATTATTAGATTAATGAATGCTCCCTACTAAAACTGCAAGCAAAAGTTTTGCAATTTAACTATTTTACTTTATACCTGTACCCTCTAAATGGAGTTTTCATGGCTTCTGTTGTTTACTCCAAATATACTGACTGATACTGACTGATCACGTGCTTTGGTCCAGCGTTCGAGCGTAAAGAGCAGATTCGTGAGGCAGGACCTACCACTTCGAAAGCCGTGTTGGGCATCGGAAAGGAGATGGTGCTGCTCGAGGAACTGCACCAAGGCCTTCTTAATGATCTTCTCCATGATTTTGCAACAGATGGAGGTAAGACTCACTGGCCTGTAGTTATTCGCAGACGCACGACTTCCACCCTTAAAAAGCGGAATGATGGTAGCGGACTTCCAGTCAGAGGGCAGGCATCCAGTAACAAATGACGTTTGAAAGATCAAGGCTAACGGCTTGGACATTTTGGAAGCTAGTTCCTTCAGCAGCTTGGCCGGGATTGCATCAGGGCCTGGGGAGGTCGATTCCTTTAGGTTTAGTAACTCATTCCGAACAATTGTTTCGGTGAAGAAGACGGCTTCGAGGGTAGGCGTTTCATCGTCTTCATAAGCGGGTGAGGAAAAAGCAGGTTCACTTGTCACGACTGACCGGAAGAACTGAGAGAGATGTTCAGCCTTATCCTTGTCATCGGAGATTTCCACACCCTCAGCCGTTCGCAGCAGTGGGACAGGATCTTTGTTCCGTGTGCTCTGTCTTATGTAGCTGTAAAGGATTTTTGGATTAATCATGGCACGGTTCAAAAGATTCTTTTCAAAAGCTTTCCTATCTCTGGCGATGAGAATTTTGACCCGATTTCTCTGTAACTTATAACTGCTTAGGGATTCTGGCGTGCGTTCCGTCAGCGATCTTTTCCATAGCTTCCTCTTCTTGTTAACTTCCTTCTTTAAGGACGGAGTCAACCAGCGAGGTCTATTTGTTAGTCTTTTGCGCATGATTGGGCAGTGGTTGGAGATGAGGTTTTGGACTAACTCTTTGAACTGACACCAAGCCTCTTCGACATCGCCGGAGAGAGTGGATGCCCAGTCGATAGGACTAAGATCCTTTTTCATCTGTTCGAAATCGCCGCGCCAAATATTGGGTCGGGAATCGAGCGGTTGTGCAGGAAGGGAGAATAACGTGTATTCCTACATCAGAACTACATGGTCACTCTGACCCAACGGGGGGAGGCAATTCACAACGTCGATGTTGTCAGACGACTTGGTGAACACAAGATCGAGGCAGTTCATCTGTTGGTCCTCTCGAACTCTAGTTGGAAACATTACGTGTTGTGTGAGAAGCAGGTTGTCGGAGGTACGCAGTAGCTGCTGGTCAAATGCTGCTTCAGAGCAGTCGGCTGAGGCCGAGCTCCAGTCGATGTGAGGTGCATTAAAATCTCCAACGATGAGAGTGGTCGGCCGCGTTGAAAATAATCTGAGCTCCTCCAGCAGTTGGGCATCAGCGTCAGGGTCATTTCTCGGGGGGCGATATGCTGTCAAGATATTGAGACTTTGAGAGCCCGGTGCCCTTATGGTCAGCCATTATGCTTCGGTACTACAAGTCAGTTGGGCAGTTTTTTCTGAAACGTGCAAGCCGTTTTTAACAAATGTTACTATGCCTCCACCCCTTCTGTTTTCTCTGCCTCGGCGGAACAGTTGAAATCCAGGGAGCATGAGCTCTCTATCATCAACCTCTTCGGACAACCATGTTTCTGTTATTGAGATAACATCTGGATGGAGGTCGTAGGTATGGATACGGAGTTCGTCCAGCTTAGAAAGTACACTTTGCGCGTTGGTATACATGAATATGAGTTTCGAGTTCATGCTTGCTTGCTTGTAAACGTATTAATGTAAGTCCTCACTGCTATCCTACTTTTTAAATTAAGTAGGTAAGACGAATACGACTAAATTTATCCCGGGTGATGGTGAGCCCTTACAACCACTGCATGACCTCGAGCAGTCGTTAAGTGCGGTCTTGACGGAGATTAAGAAGGAGAACGTGCTTACCGTAGGTCGGTCGTGCCATCAGAGTAGCTGCACTCGGCGACCTCAAAGGCCTGCTGTCTCTAGCGCGTTCGCTGCGGCGTGATCGATTCGCCACAGATGTCACTCTCGTTTAAGAGCTGGTTCACGCCAAAAAATTACATTTCGTATGACTAGGTGTAGAAACAGTAACATGTGAGAAAAAACTTGTCTATTAAGACAATAAACCTGTCCTGTGCGTCACAATTGGTTATGTAACTGAAGAAGAAAAAGAGGAAGAAGAAGAAGAAGAAGAAGAAGAAGGAAAAGGAAAAGTAGAAAAGAAGAAGCAGCAAAAATAGACTGAAAAAGAGAAGGTGGCTAACTATTGAGGAGTGGACGACCCTCCTGCACTCTTGTCGAGATAATGCTAGACATGTTGCTTTATCTGGAGGATTGTACAATTTCTAAAATTCGAGATTGAAAAGCAGCGCCCGCGATCAGTGGGACAAGAACCTGGTCAGTCTAGAATTCTGGTTCAACTATCGAACTTGCCATCAGTGGCAGACGTGGACGTGGAGAGTTTGCAGTATTTATAGGATGTAATTGACGCGCAGTCATGACCCTATTTATACTAATAACGGACGCTCCCATCGTGCATCGTCGTACTTGGAACTGTTGTAACTTGGTTGCCGCAGAAAGAATTTTATTTGTGCGACGCTAAGCTTTCAAGCTCATCATCAAAGACTGTAATAAGAGGTTGAGAAGTAAGAAACTGCAGTTGCAACACACTGTGGCCACGGATGTTCGTACCTGGCGCGACATTTGTTTGGTTTCCCCCTATCCGCGTTTCCGACCGTTACGACTTCATCAGCATCGCTGGTGGCTGACAGGGATTAGGGGGGACTGACATTGTCGGACTTAGTAATGGACTCAGTCCGATGGCAACTGATGCCTTGTCGAACCTGTAGGTGCGGGCGATCCCGATAAAGTGATTTGGCCTCGAAAGTTGATGCCATGTTTCCTAGCTATTGCTGCCTGTTCACTCATCTGTGTTTGGAGAGATATTTCTGATTCTCTGATACAGTGAATCTAGAATACCAGAAGAATCAAATCTGCGCTCGAGCGGTTGACTCACTCACTCACTCACTCGCTCACTCACTCACTCACCCACCACCACCACCTAATTCTCAAATTCACTACTGTTCTGCAACTTAGTTAGAAATGAAACTGGACTCACACTTCGACCCGGAGAGTCAAAAGCAGTTACTTAGCCGGTGCCATTTACGAGGTAGGGAAGTGGTTGCCCAGAACGATCTACAAAAGAAATACTCAGGAAAAGAAGCAATAGCAATAGAGGCTATGTGAAAAGGAGAGGCGTGTTTTCAGCCTGCTTTTCCCAGATATCGTACTAACAACGAGGCTACACTGGTTAAAGTTGTGCTGGCAGAGTTTTGGAAGAAATAGGAGTCCCACCCCTGTTCACCCTTCGAACGTCGGTCAACCAGCAGTGGTCTACTTATTGACGCCGAATTGCGAGAATTTGTTTGTCCATGCCTACTGATCCGGTTGAGGCGATTCGCCGACGCCGGCTGCACGTTTTTACGCCACATGAACACCCTCGTGCCCTAGGCTTAAGTTAGTCTAGTTCCGTTGGCAATTTTGGCTCGTGGCGGGTTGACCCTAATTTCTTGCCCTGATCACAGCCCTAAACGCTCTCAAATGCTTATTTTTCAGAATTTGCTCACGCCTACCTTTGTGAGCCTTTCGCCTAGATACCCAGTTGGGGTGAAGTTACCCAGGCCCGAAGAAGTCTTATCGAAAGCAAGTGTGGTGATAGTTGGGTATGTAGGCCCCTGTTTTTATTATTACATCGTGCCTACTAATTTGACCTTAAAAGACATGTTGGATTGAGTTACTTCTCAGGTTAAGCCCAGGTAAAACTGTTAAATTTGGGTTAAAGTTAAGCTTGAGTCAAAAATTTGAGTTGGCGTTTGGGGTGGGGGTAAGTTCCCTGCTCCACGTCGTTTTAACTTGTCCGCCTTCACTAACTAATAACCTTGAATGTTCCGTGTTCAGCCCGTGTATGGTCCCTTAATCCACATCTTTCGGATTGCGTATTTTGTTCGATTATGTTAGTTGCCGCATGCACATACCCTTCTTATTAAACTACCGTTAACGTCATTCCTATGTTACAGGAGACCTCAGGCTCTATTTTATCAGTGGACTTACATATCCAATCCTTGCCGCAAATGTTTACTCGGCCGTGTTTCACATTTTATTGGACTCTATGTATCGGGCCTAGAGTGCTGTTTCCTTCCGGTTACTGCAGTGAGTTTGAATATGTTTAGAGAGCATTCTTACACAGGTTCGTCTGTGAAAAATGAGTAGCTGCGTGGTGTTCGCTGCCTTCCTACAGACCGTTGTCTCGGTTCGCCTTTGAGACTTCGCCGTGATTACCGGATACTATTCTGTTTGTCAGTTCTGTTAACATTTCAGTGTTCTGGGCTTTCACAAGTATTGCAGCATTGCAGACTCATTGGGAATGGGTGTTTTAAGTGTGGGGATATAAGTAGTAGCGAAAGCAAAATCTAAGAGGCATTCGGAAATATAATCCCTTCTCCCTGGCTGCTGCTCCTTTCCCCCTCCCTCGTGAATTGTGTGTCAAAGAAGATGGCATTGAACAGGTCGTGGACATGCTGCTGCATGTTCTGTCCGAAAACATCAAACGTTTCGTCACAGTAATGGCTTAAAAAAACGGCCCTTGGTGACTGCAGACAGTCTTTCCTAGCTTTTGTAGGGATCAGTTATGCCACTGAAACGAAGACCTGGGAGTCTGTTGGAGCTCCATTGGTCTGCTCACAGGTTTCTCCCGCTGAGGTGAAGTATGATTTTTGACAAAATTGAAACGGCCTCAAGAAGAGCTGAATTTCAAGCGGAGTTTGTGGCTCTTTGTATGCCTCTTCAAGTGTCTTGCTGAAGACTTTGTGACCTGACTTCGGCGCGATGAATGCCAGTGATGATGTCATATCCAAATAGACCATCAGAGTATGAAAAAACCCAAGTCGAGGGACTTTTTGCTTGCCTCCCTTCAAGAGAGAAGTGGAGGGTAGTCTTTTTTACATTGTGACAGTTTTCCAATGTGCAGGGTAAATCTCTCAGCTGCGACATTTGGTTCAGAAGGTCAATTGCAGTCCTGTGAGGGAATCAGCAGGTGTTGGAAATCCGCTTGCGTGCTGTCATTCCAAAAAATGCGACCACTCGCATCCGCCTCGTCTGCAGCGTTGGCACATCCTAAAATGACTGCCTGTGATCGTTGTTGTGCGCCCGTATGGTCACGTGAGGTTTTCCGGAGTAAACACTGGCGTGCCAAAGATAAGGTCTATCATAAACAAGGCCAACTGGGTGATTCGCACCTTTCGAACGGAAGCAACCTCTTCTCTGTTTTGCCAGTTTTCTGATTGCACTTCTCCACTTACACCACCGTAAATTGTTTTATTAGAGCGTCTACACTTAGATGCTTGCTTCCCGATTAATTACTTCCCAACCCTTTAATCCCTAGAGCACCTAAAAGGGGGAAATTGGTAATTAGATTTTAGTATGGATAGAGTAGCAGGATTGGAAGCTCAGATATCGGCCACTACTGATTTATTTTCGGGTAAGCCATTTTAACTTCTGTGTGCCAGGCAGCCGGAGAACATAAAATCGCTCCCCGATCCATGGGCTGGTTGAGGTAAACGCAGTCTGAAAACCGTCGTCCCATTTACTCTTCGGTATGACAGCCATGTCACAGAATTGTGTAATTATTTACCATACTGACCACACTAGTATTAACTAAAAGTCCAGACACACGTGCTTCGTCGATCTTGTACCGATGCCTGATGCAGCTGCGAGAGGTTCGGCTCATTAGTGAGTCCCCCACACTTCCCTGTGTGCCTTCTGGTATGTGAACTCCAGTTCCACCTTGTCTTGTTCAGTTTCCGAAAAAATAATGTATGAACTTTGATTTTGATGGCCGTTTCTGGCTTAGACGTTGTGGTATTTTATGTCCACCTACTTGAAACACCGCGCTGGTATGATTTTGGCTGTTTTTATAGGGATATCTGTGAGGT